TGTGGACTGAGCCTTGAAGTCTGTTTCACTTTGTTTTTGGATGTGTCAGAAGTGTTCTCCTATCAGCAGTGGTGTATATATCCAACAACCATCACAGGATCAGGAAAGATAGCATTACCATTCTCTCACAGGCTTGTTTCCCATCCATGAAACCCTTGGGGATAGCGTTGGGTGTAAGGATTTCATATCTGTGTGCAAAGAGAACAAAGTGTGAATAAGTGAGTTTTCTTCTTGAAAAGAAAAAAGAAAGAGTTAAAATTTTGTTTACTTGGATGCTCAATTATCCAGGTAAGTAAATCACAAAAGGTTGATTCTGTTCATCTGGGTGTAGCGTTTTTTTGTGCTGTGATTGCAGCCGTTCCCCAACTCTCTGTGAATGGTTCTCAGGGCCATTGGTTGATTGATCAATGGTTGTTGATCAGTGGTTGTTGATCAATGGTCATGACAATTTGGATAATAATGCTGACCTCACAGCCCATTGTTCATTCAGTGGACTAGTTTCAGTCATTGTGCAGACTGGGGAAACCTGCAGTTAGCTGAGGCTGAAGAAGTCACTTGGATGAGTGATGAAACGTTTCTCCAAATGAAAACGCTACGTCCAGATGAACAGAATCAACCTTTTAGGAGTTAAAAAAAGTGGTGATGTTTCTCACCGCTGTCTAAACTCCTGGAAGACGATGCGGTTGGGGAAGCCCTGTCTGCAGATACGAATCCCCTCCAAAACTCCGTTACACCTGAGCTGGTCCAGAACCAGGTGAGGCTCAAGTTTACCAGCCTGAAGGAGGAAATGATACACTCTTAAATACAGAAACAGAAACTTTACCACATTTTATTTTTTTAAATGAGTCCCAGACTTTAGTTAAGTTAGATAGTAAAAGTATTTACTCTTTTTTCGTGGTTGGGGATGATGCAGCGGACAAAGTTGGGGTTGGTGTTCCTCAGTGTGGCCATAAGCTTAGTGAGTGACTCTTTGTAGAGCTGTCCCACTGTACGAAACATGCCCTTTTTCGTTTTGTAGGTGGCACCAAACGCCGTCTCGTTCATTCCTGCCACCTGGTCCAGGCCCACGATGCGGTCGACTGGAGGGGTGACGGGGACATATTATTGTGAGTCTGTGTATTTCTGAGATGGTCACCGCAGGAACAAGTGGTAGCAGCACGGTGGCATAATGTGGCTACATGACCGAGTGCAGATGAATGAAAACTATCAAATGAAGGCAGTCTACCAAAGCAGCAGTCAAGAGTCTAAAAGTATCGCTTGTTTCTGCAGGTGGAGATGAAACATTAAGCCAAACTGTTTCTTAGTTTAAACACTGTATACACACACGACTCCGTGGTGAGAGGAACCTTTCTGTGGGTGTTCGATGGCGGCTAAATTCATGCTTTTCAATATTTCAGTGCCTTTGATAAAAAAAACCCTGCACTTTCATACTGCTAAGATAATAACATTAAAGCTATAATAAGAAAGTTTTGTAACTATAAGACAGCAAACAGTGCATATACTTTTTGATAACTTATTTTAAAAAGCATCACTCAGTGTTAACTCAGGGTTAACCATGACTAGCAAAATAAGAGAGAACTACACCTGTTACATTAATAAATAACTGAACAGTAATAATCAGCCGCCTCTTTAAGAGATCCTCTTGCCAAACGATTTTGAAGACACCAACAACAACATAAACAACAACAACTTTGCCAACAAGCGAGTCGTTATGGGAAACACGAGATGGGAAACGCCATGGGTAGCCAGTTAGCAGTGACTTAACCTTCTAAATAAGAGCAAGGGGGTTGTTAGTCACTAAACTGATCATGGATGGTGTTATTTTCTTAGATGATGAAAAAATAGAAACAAAAAATGTTCTTTTTATAGTGGGATGGGAAAATATATTAGAGTGGCCTGCCTCACTAAAATATATGTGTGGGAAACAGAGGGAACAGCTAGATACAAAGCAGCTGGATTAATATAGTTTTCAGTTTTCTGTGTATTTTGTGGTGGATTTGGTGCTCTATTAGGTATTTCTGAGAGCAGGATGGTGTATGCGTTCTTAAAATAAACTACAGTGTGAGTTGCTCTTGTGAAGTAACATACCTAAGTATCAACATCAGCACTTTTGAGTGATTTTTTCTTAAGATGAAGCACTTTTGATTGTGGAAAAAAATCAAGGTTTGAAGAAAAAACAATAACTTTTCGGAGGTTAGGGCCACGGCAGCGGGACGACCTGTACTTGTGAGATCTACTTGCTTGTGGGTTTGAGCAGCTCAGGTAACTTTATGAGACGTTACTGTGAGTCTGAACTTCATTTAAGACCCACAACTCGAACATGATGTATTTTGACCATCACATTCTGCTTTTGAATGACCTCAAGAAACAAACAAACAAAAACAAACTAAACCCTTTATCATCAGTATCCTCTTGTATATTATAATTTAACGGCCTGCTGTGCTTAAAAAACCTCCAGTATAACAGGAACTAAGCCTGAAACCAGCTGTTAAACAGACTCAGACTCGCGTCATGTTAGCAGTGAGACATCCCTGCCTCTGCCTGTTATGATGGACCTCAGGATGTGATCAACAGTAATTCCAACAGACAACTTTACACAAGCTTCACTGACAAAACCTAAAACCTGTAAGTCTTAACACCTGATTAAACGCAGACTTTGGGTCATCTCATATAACAGGTGACCTCCTCTTCCTTAGAGTCAGCTGATTTGTTTGGTACAGTACTGGAAAAGCCTATCAGGGGGTGGGAGCAAGTGGACTGACCCATATGTCACTTAAGTAGCTCACCATACTACATTACAAAATGTAACAAGAAGAAACACATTTATAATAAATTATATCTTAAAAACTGGAAAAGTAACAAAAAGCAAGTATTACTTATTCTATACAGATACCTTTGTCTATCATTATTATTCAGTAATATTATTCAGTAATGTGTCATTTCAGTTTATTCAGTAAATAAGTCAGGCTGGAGGGGGAAGTTTAGAGTGCCTGTAAGTTTTAATAATCACACTCCAAGAGGGAGGGATACAATATGCTGTGATTGATATTTTCCCCCCATCACTATTTATTAATGCCCCCGCAGTTAAATCATAATTACAATCACAGACTCCTGAGTTTAACCGAGGTGATACACGACCTGCTTTCTGGACCCTCCACAGTGATATGTGAGCTCAGAGCCAAAGCAAAATTCCACATCTGGTTTTAATTCTCTGCCACTGTGTCTAGGGACAGGAGGAAGGCGGGGAAATAATGTTATTAAATATTCTTCAGTAGAGTTTCAAATCCTTAATTTGCTCGTGGATGTTTCACATCACTGATGGGGGACAAAGGGAAGAATAAACAGCAATCAGACTCAGACACAGCTGCACTAGATTCCTGTTGCTTGCTTCAGGGCAGCTGGACATACAAAGATCACAAGACCCCATGTCAGCCCACTAACACACCGAAACAAATTAAAGCACACTGGTTCGACTAAAGAGAGACAATGACTATATTCTACTCTAGCTTATTTAGGAACTGGACACTACTGCTTTTGGCTGAGACAAGGGAGCCATGCAGCCTGGAAGCAGATGGGAGCCACTGCAGCTATGACGGACAGCATTGGCTGAAGCATGAAGCACAGAGCCAGATCTGGGCGGAAATGTACCAACAGGTCACTTTCAACTATGATTCTGGCCCAGCACGACCCAGTCATTCACCTGCCGGCTCATCCAGACTAGTGACACTGTCATAGAATGAGGCCCTTTGAATGGTCTGAATCTCTACAACACAGAGAGAGAGAGACAAGGATGGGGCGCTCTTAGAAAAAGGTAAACGAGGCAGACAGCTGCTGCTGTTAGTAGGCTTCCATGACAGACATGTAGATGTAGAAAAGCAAACAGGTACAAACATAATGAACTACAGGAAGTATTAATAGAACCAGTTGGTTGTAGTTGTTACAGCTGACTTAAGCGTTCAGAGATAAGTAGCTGGTACGTTACCATCCTTCCACAGTTCAGCCACAAACTTGTCAGTTGACTGATGGAGAAGTGTCGCCACGTTGTCATTCAGAGGGTCCATGTTCTTCATTAGCCACTCATCTGCCTTGTAGTCCACCTGTAAGAGTAAATAGAGGTATAGCTCAGAAAAACGCACTATTATCTATGAGACATTTTGGTTTTTAACATTAATTCATATTAAAAACAGAAAGAAAAAAAATAAAATAAAAATATCTCTTTTTCCAGGCCGTATGATGAGTGGTGACCTGCTGCAAAAGCTCTCATGTTCTCATGTTCCTAGCTTTATCCTGATGTGAAATGGCTGTTTTGTTTTACAAAACATATTGATGCCAATGAAACCACGGTGGAAGTGACAGAGTTTCACAGCTGTTTATCACGGGAAACAGCCAGTGTTTGCACAATATGGACGAGCTCAGTGAGCTGATTAAGGATGAGACAGGTGAGCGTGGACTGATCGATGTCAGGGGTCGCGGAGTGGAGGCGAGGAAGAAGGAACCCAAACGCAGGACTCACAGGTAGGTGAAGCCGGGTGATTTATTGTCGATGGGGTGAACACACAGAACAGAGGTAGGAAATGGCTGGCTGGCTGGACGACGACTGACTGACTGAATGAATGAATGAAGGACGGACTGAATGGCTGACTGAACACAGGCGGAAACAACAACATAACATCAATGACACGACAACGAACGAGTAGAAACAGAAGACTTAAATACACAGACTGATGAGGATGATAATGAGAGACCGGTGAGTACACAGCTGAACATAATCTGGCTAATGGCACGAGACGAGCTGACACAGGAACAAACAGGAAGTGAAACAGGCAGTGGCAAAATAAACTGAACATGAACAAAACTGTGCAGAGTCACAGATCCAGGAAATCGTTCCTCTATTGTATCACAATACCTGCAGTTATATGTTAGGTGTTACTCAATTAAGTTTTTTCTATTGTTTATGTAAGTGCGCTCATTCGCACAGTATCGTTCCATCTTTCTGATACTGTCTGTTTGTCTTGCTTTATTGACATTCTGCTTCATTTCTTTTTTATATTATAATTAAAAAATAACAAAAAGCCACCCATAAATAAATAAATTTATAATGAAGAAAAAAACGGCTGCTCAGACACTAATTCCCCACCTTTGGGATAAATAAAGTTTATTTTGTTAACTTTATCTTATTTATTTGTATCTTTCTAACAGAAAAGATTTGATCATTTCTGAATGATCATCACTGACAAGTATACATAAATGATATGGTTAACCAAAATGTAATCTATTACATTTTTAACATTTGGAAGCCCATTAACGTATATCTATGTGTAAATTCTGTCTCAATCATTGTGAACTTCATGGTGAATTTAACTGTCACTATGACCTATAAGGTGTTTTTTATTCTAAAAACTTACACGCCACATTCACAGTGCTTTATTTTACCAACTTAAAGAGCTATGTAGGTGCTTTCATGCACGCAGTGATAGTATCTTGCCCAAACATTTAGACTGGAGAAGCAAGGACCTCATGGGACAGGCCTCTCTACCTCCTGCAGCTTTATAAACTCTGTATCAGGATCATTTAGCGCAGTTGGATGAGAATCGGACTCCAGGGCGAGAGGTGAACAGTTCAAGTTTACCTTTCATGGTACTTTTTCTTTAACTTTCTTACTCTTCTCTTGAGCATATTTTATGTTGTTTTGTTGTAGTCGATAAAAGACAACTACTACTATTCTTCAGTACAGAGGTTTTTATTCCAACACAAGCTTTTTCGTAGCTGGAAAATCCAACTTGAACATCCAAGTGACGCTCAACAAGAAACAATATTATTTCGTTATGTCTCCAAGGTCGGCAAAACTTTTATTTCGGAGATATACGTCAAGATGGTAATTCAACGTGAAAAATGTTTGCTGGTCATTATTTGTATAATAAACTCCCCATTAATTTAGGATCCATTCACTTTTAAAGACCTGTAAGTCAGAATATTTCATGTTTGAAAGCAAAAACTATAAAAATGTTAATTTCCCATCTGTGCAGTTTGGAGGATTTTGGTGGAAAGAATTGAAGCTAACAAAGATGCCGTTCAATAAAGAGCAACACAACCTAACATCATGTCTGATGTTAGGAAAAAATTCTCCATTTCATAGTTTGTGCATCATCTGTCACTGCTTGAATCACATGTTCCCTAAAAACCAAACACATACAAGTCTTTTCATCTTTTCTGATTGTAGAAGTGTAAAAATCAAGAAACATTTCCACACTACTCTGAATGAGATCATTTTTCTCTGTGCACACCTGTGTTAACAACATTTCCAGCGTTTGGCTTCATCGTGCTGCAGATTTTTCTCCAAAGCAGACGTTCCTACAGCTGGAATCTTTCAGTTTTTGAAATATTGAGGCGTGAAACAACACAGTCCACACAATGATAAGCAGATGTGCTACTCTGTGGGTCTCCCTACGAGACAAATGCTGCGCTCTGTTGCGTAACACCACGGACTATCCAAACCCACTCCCTCACGATGAAATATAAATCAAGCTGTTTCAGTGTTTCCCTGAAATCCCCCCACAGGAGAAGTATGTGTCAGCGTTTTATGTGACCTCTGACAGTCAGCGACTTTTCAGGGATGAAAGAGGGATTCAGAAAAGAGGATTATGGTAAACTGAAGCATAAGTGTGATGATATCAGCTGTAGCAGCTGTGACTGGGACTCTGATTACTTTCTCACCTGTGTGGCTGAACTGAGGGATTCTTTTTATAAGAGCTAGCTTATCATGGCCTAAAAACAAGCATCAAACATCCTGAACAGTCAGGGAGGCAGCAACAGGAACCGGCTGATTTTTATAGAGATAAAAAAACACAAAACCCCCACAAAGAAAACACAAGCATACCCTGCCGGCGTAGTGGATGATGCAGAAGTCGGCCTTATCTTTGAGCTGCCGGGGCTTCTGAAACTTGGTGTGCGTGCCCTGCTCCTGGATCAGCTTGTCTACAAATGTCTTGTCTGTGGCTTTAGGGAACCAGCACTCCTCATCCAACAGAGCCAACACGCCTGGAGGGTTCGCCTGGAGGAGTCATAACACAGGACAGGACGTTAAGACTGCAGAGAGGCTGGACAGGAATATAGCATCGACACACAAAGACAACGGATCTCATTTCATTTTCAAAATAGTTTCTCTGGCATATTTGCCTTTAACAGAAACACGTGTCTCGCACTGCTAGAACTCTGAGCCATTTTTTTCCTGGTGTGATATTCTTCATGATATCTTCATGATATCACACCAGGACAACTACGTGAATTATTATTCCCCCCCCCCCATGCTGTCAGAAGATGTGATTTTTGGCTTTTGTTATGTTTTGAAATTTGTGGTTTGTGGCAGAAAAAAAACCTCTTTAATCCTGAAAGCAACCCCCCCAAAATATATATATATATTTTTGTCCAGAAAAAAAGACTACTATTCTTCTGACTAAGACTTCAAGCTTTATTTCTTTATTAGGCATCAACAGGAATAAAAAGGACATTTGTTAAATAGAATAAAGCAGTGCATGACTAAAAGGAAATATTAAGTATTATAATTTAGTTGCTAAATAAGTAAAGAAAGATTAAAGTTAAAACATTCTCCAACTTCAGTTCTAAGGAGAATGAATCTAATTGACAAAAGCTAATAATGGAACTGACCGGTCTCTCGATGAGGTCGATGCAGGGCTGCAGGTCGAGGCCGAAGTCGATGAAGCTCCACTCGATGCCCTCCCTCTGGTACTCCTCCTGCTCCAGGATGAACATGGTGTGGTTGAAGAGCTGCTGCAGCTTCTCGTTGGTGTAGTTGATGCAGAGCTGCTCAAACGAGTTCAGCTGCACGAGAAGAAGATCGACACAAGCAAGAACATCATCATCACTGGAAATAATTACCAATGACACAAACTGACAACCACTAACCACGTGGCAAATAAAAAATAAATAGATAAACTTTGTCATTAAAGAACTAAAAGATTTCAATTCAGACCTGGAAGATCTCAAAACCAGCAATGTCCAGGATACCGATGAAGGAGGCACCCTGCCGTTTGGTTCGGTCCAGGGCTTTATTAATGCGATGGACAAGCCAGCGGAACAGACGCTCATACGTAGCTTTAGCCAGGGCCTCGACAGCAAAGTCCGCCTGCAGAGACAAAGCGTGAAAAAAGAAGACCGTGACAAAACAATGAACAGAGAAAAGACCTGAATGTGGCACGGGAACAACAACAACAAAGACATAAGTGTGTGTGGGCTGAAACTAAATGAATTCTACAAACACACTTCTAGTTGCACTCACGTTTCTTTCTGAGACTTTTTATCCGAAATACTTGGATGACAGCTGGATATGTATCAGTCTGCAGGACTACTGCACTTTAAATTTCCAGTGCTTCATTTAACAAATAAATGTAGAAAAGTTCAAAATAACATTCTTTATAATTTAATTTTTTTAAAAACAGTTTTGACTATAAGCTTTTGTTATTTTGACTTCCCTGGCTTAGTGCTTGCACCAATGCTTCACAGCAAGAGAGCCCTG